ATATAACTTTAAGAACTACTGCCAGTGATCGCTTACGGACGGGCCGTCTGTCACAGATCGCAGCACTTATCATACAGTTTAAACGATTCTATTGCGGTGTGAATGCTCTTTAACTTGCATTTAAGGATTTGTGCTTTTATAACGTCAGTACGGGATTTGGGTCTGATTTATGTTTTTAGATTATTAGTGTATTAGGGATTATTATTCAGACCAATAAAAAGGTTTCTTGCTTTGGAAAAGAATATTGCTTGTGTCAATCACTTATTGGAAGGCCTTATCTGTGTCCTTCAAGTATTTCCTTAACAACCCTAGTGACCCATACCTTAGGAAAAACAGATTAAGGGGGCAGTAAGTAGGTTATTTTAGGGACTCCCCAAAAGCTGTTTTTCAATGAGTTCCCGAACCAGCTCTTTTAAAACTCTTGAATGTACATTATCTGGATTGCTAATTTAAAATTTCTAACTTTAGTATTTGTGGTTTAACATCCATCTGAGGCAATAGTGGAATAGGAAGAGTGGGATAATCATCATATGATATGAATATATCATCTGCTTTTTTTGTATTATTACTGAAAATTCTATCATTTCCATCTAGTAATGGGCCAATACCATTGTTAAGATTCTTTTTGTTCTTAATATACTTAAACTTCTTATTGTCCTTAACTCTGCAGGCCATAGATTTTTCCTTATGGCCCTTTGCTTCCCTTATCAATTTTCTACAATTCCTAGCTTCTGATTGATATTCATTTTTCTCATCAACTTCCCCTTTCTTCCATGTGCTATATATAATTTTAAAATTGTTTATAGCCTTCCCTGCCCTTCTAAACAGGTCAGTGTTTTAACCAGTACAGCCTTCTTCCTCAACTGTGGTATTGGGAGAGGGAGGGGTGGGTTGTGGCTAAAATCAGACTGGGAACTCCTTGCCAAACATTTTCTACTCTCCACCCCAGACAAGGATGGGATCTTCCTCCTGGATGTCATTTTCCTAAGCTTCCTTTATTGATCTTCCTCCCAAGCGACAGACAGCTGGCAGGAATCAGCTCTGTATTACACCTGCCTCTGTCTGTGGCTCCTGCAGAAGAGAGGGAGGATCAGCATCATGCAGGGGAACACTGGTGTATGTGAAAGGAAAGGCTTCCTTGCGCCGCACATCCTTGCTGTGGAACCTCGAGCCCAGCTGTGTCCCTGGCATGAACCCGATGGCTGGTTCAAGGGGACGTCAAATGCTTATTAAACACCAGCCTTGGATGCTGCATTTCTCCAGCATAGACTACCGCTTGCATTGGACTCACCTTATAAATGAAACCCTGACAGCTCTTTCCCTGGTAACTGGGCCTGGCTAATCCATCAGACCAGCATCTCCAGATTAGCTATTGACATCTGCATTAGGGATAAATGACTCGGGGGAGACGGATGAGCAGGGTTCATCCGTCTAGCTCTGACTCCTTGTCTGCCCTTAAGAGTTCGGATGCTGCAGCACGGGAGTTGCTGTCGAGTGTCCAGGGAAGATTCGTCCCCAGTGCCTGCTCCTTTGAGGATTCAACTCAAGGCCACAGAACTTGGGCTGGGGGAGTCCTGGGACCTTGGGAGACAGGCGCACGTTTCCTCCTTGGGGCAGCGACGCCACACCTGTCTCTTGTCCGTGTCGTTCCAAAGGTTCAGTATAAAGCTCTTGGCTTTCATACGTCTGCCCCAGATCCAAACCAGGTTAGAAATGCCTGAAACTCAGTAACATCCGGTGGCTTCTCCGAAATGGGCTGGTGGCTTTTTATCCAGTCGCTGTGGCTGGGCGAGCCCATTGTACAAACCCACAGGGCTGCAGCTGGCACTGAGTGGCAGCCACAGCAGAAGCAATGGAAAGGGAGCTCACCTCCAAAGCTATTCTCCCCTTGGGGAGAGCGATGCTGGCCTCTCGGATGGCAGGCAGGGTGTTACCCGTCTACCTCGCCAGGGACACGGCCGCGGGGAGCAATTCCTCCCTGTCTTCTAAACAACCAGCTCCAACACCTGGTTTGAATGAAAGCTGAGCGGGCCACTGCCATTCGGGGCAGCCCGAAGCGTCGGCTGAGCAGGGAAAGTCCCCTTATTCAAATCCCAGGAGCCCTTCACTGACTAGTACTTACAATGTGGTATAGTCACGGTGTTGGCCGTCTCCATTTGGGGCGGCACATCACAGGGCTTTGTCCTGGCACAGGAACGTCAGAAGGGAGCCACTCTCTGTCTGGCCCCCCGCTTGACACTGGTGTCCCTCGCCTCTGTTTGCCAGAGGATGGAGACGGATGGCAGGAGAGAGATCACTTGATCATTGCCTGTTAGGTTCACTCCCTCTGGGGCACCTGGCATTGGCCACTGTCGATGGACAGGATACGGGGCTGGATGGACCTTGTGGTCTGACCCAGTCTGGCTGTTCTTATGCTGTATCTCGTCTGACTTTCTTTGGGCAGGCCCTTGGGGCCCATCGCCTCCAGCGTATTTAGGTTCCGAACTTCCAGTGAAATCAATGGAAATTAGGAGCCTAAATATCTTAGAGGATTTGAGCCTCAACGTCTAAAGTCATCCCGAAGCGACCCAATCTGACAGTTTTCACCCCCAGACTACTACTACTGAGATCTCTAGCTGGACCAGAGAGACCACTGCCCACCGGCTGTCAATCACAATGTTTGCTGGAATGTGCTTAAATACTCCGGTGATGGAGAGAGTAGAAAGTGTGTGGGGAGCAGTTTTGCAATCAGTTATTGAGCATGTGGCATTCAACAGCAAGTAGGTTGGAAGAGAAAAGGGAGGGGGAAGGGAAGGGAAGAGAGAAAGAACTAAGATCAAACTCCAGGGACCCTTTAGGAGTTGGCACCATGGAATGGAAAAAATACTTCCCCTCGAGGAGAGGCCATCAGCAAACGCAGCCCCACGGCTCTGCGCCTCTGACTCTTTACATACCGCGGCACTTATCTCCACTGTCCTTTCGCCTCCTTAATATCCCATTGCACCGAGGCTAGCGGACTGCAGGCTAAATGATCGCTGGGTTTGCCTTGGCTAACGAGCTGCAAGTGGAAGTGAAAAGCACAGTAATGAAGCTTGCAGATGCCGCGAAACACAGCACAGTTAGTACCGGCGCAGGCATTCACACAACAGACACGCCGAGAGCACTTAGGAGCCTGGGCAGAAAAGAGAGAAATGTCTCTACCTGGTGGAATGTACCAGTCAATAGGGGACAGAGCAGGTGATCGGTAATGCTGATGGAGAGGTACTGCAGAGGTGGACAGTGAATTTGTTTTGCTCTTGTATCCTACTGAAGACGGAGGTCTCTGGGTACGTCTACACTGCACTTAGCCATGTGCCTGCTAGAGCGGCGAGACAGACCTGCATTAGCTTTGCTCGAGCTAGCATGCTAAGAAATGGCAGAGTGGATGGAGCGGCTCTGGCAGAGGCTTGGGCTAGCCCAGGGGTCGGCAACCTTTCAGAAGTGGTGGGCCGAGTCTTCATTTATTCACTTTAATGTAAGGTTTCGCGTGCTGGTAATACATGTTAACGTTTTTTTAGAAGGGGTCTCTCTCTAAGTCTATTTTATATAACTAAACTATTGTTGTATGTAAAGTAAACAAGGTTTTCAAAATGTTTAAGAAGCTTCTTTTAAAATTACATTAAAATGCTGATCTTACGCCACCAGCCTGCTCAGCCCGCTCCCTTCTAGAAAGGATGTCTCAGGATCTGTGGGGTTATCCATCTGGTTCCACTGCTAACCCCACTTCCAAAAGCACTCAGGGGTGACAATGCACCGCAAACACGCCTTACAAAGAATCTCCACCAGCATGAACATAACCAGGCGCCACCGGGAAGAACACTGGATGCCATGAGATCAATTCTGGGATTTATTTCGGTTGCTGGTTTACAAAAGACGCTTGAAATAACAAAAGCAGAAGCAAGTTTTCAAAGCAGCATAAAAGAGCTATTAGTATCCAGCAAAGCCCGTATTAAACCCTCAATGTACAGCTTAAACGGACAACAAAAGCCTCAATCGCAATGAAAATAAACCCTGGTCACAAGCAAGGCAGTGCTTAGGGCTTGACTAGCTGCTGGCCAGGGTTCAAGGTTTGGGCACGAGGCCAGGTCAGTACTGACATCCCTGGTCTCCAATCTGAACAGTGGACAGCAGGGGGCGCTAGCTGCTTTCATGGGACAAAAACTCCTCCACTCATCTCTTGTCGCAAAGCTATTGGCCGTGTCTGAACTAGAAAACAGGCCTTTCTGGTTTGGGGGCCGAGCCAAACCAAACCCAGAGCGGGGAGTTTGAATGCCAGAGGTGGACGCTTAACCCTACAAAATATTCACAGGGTTTCAGATGAGTGGTTCAGTATCATCAATAACTGAATCAGCTGTAGATGCAGGAGGCACTTGGGAAGTCACCCGTCCCCTCTAAACCCTGTATCCTAGCTTGAAATGTTCAGCCGCTTCCTAGCCAGGGAATTTCCCCCCCATTCTATTTTTCTGCAGTTTACATTATTTGCTAAGTAGACGACGACGCTCGGTTTACTGCTCCCTGCAGCTTTGAGACTTCGATTTGGCCTCCTCATTTGCTAGGAAACGTCGGTGTCTTGCATAGGGTGACCAGACAGCAAGTGTGAAAAGTCAGGACAGAAGGCGCGGGGTAATAGGAGCCTATATAAGGAAAAGACCCAAAAAGCGGGACTGTCCCTATAAAATCGGGACATCTGGTCACCCTAGTCTTGCATCACAACACATGCAGGAGAACTGCCCCAAATCAGAGTGTGATGCTACAATCCCTCGCTGAGACGCTTGCATTCCCACGCCAGTGCAAAGAAAGGCAGTTATCCGGCTTGATGTGGCTAGCTGAGCCCCGGCTACCCCACCTTTCCCAGTGACTAGCTTGAAAACCAAAACCCAGAGGCAAAACCCAGCTTATCAGGTGTGTGATACTGGCAGGGCCCACACCCACACACAAGCAGCAAGCAGGAAGTTGGAGGCTGAAATCTTCCAAGGGCAAACTCAGAGTTTTGAAACCTTCTGCAGCAAAGAATTGTCGTGAACATCCTCCAGCCAGTTGATGAGGATCTTATTCAGAGCAGCTGGCCTGAAAACAAACAAAACAAAACAACAACACACTGCATTAAGCTCGGACTGCTCCTTACTGGGCTTTCTCCGGCCCAGCTTTCCCGGCCCAAGGAATTAGGCTTCCATCCATTTCCTAGGGAGACTGCTCACAGCCTGTGCTGCTTTGCTGTTGGGCAATGTTATTTCCCATGAAAAGTTTAGAAGAAAATGATACATTTTATTATTAACTGGTGGTAACGAGGTGGCATTAACGTGGGGAAAATGCAGGCTGCCAATTAGAAGAGGCTGAGAATTTGACCCAAAAACGCCTTTTTGACTAAATAGAATGTTAATTATTTTATTGTTCTCATTTTTCAATCAAAACATTGTCCCAAGTCCCATGCCCTATGAAGTCAATTACATCAACACTCCCACTTGTATCAACCAAACTTGTAATCTCGTCAAAAAATGAGTTGGACAAAATCTATTCTCCATAAATCCATGTTTCCTGGCATGAATTATTACCCTCCTTTAATTCTTTGTTATTAGAGTCCTGTATCAGTCACTCCATTGTTTTGCCCAGGATCGATGTCAGGCTGACAAGTCTGAGACTCCCTAGCTCATCCCGTTAACACTTTTTAAATACCCGGGGAGTTATGACAACTTGTTAAAAAAAAAATCAACACTAATGGCCCAGACTGTAGGGACTCAGGCTAGAACCTAGAACTGCCGGGCTCTGGGTAACTGAAGCATCTATGCCCCCACATGGCAGCTGCAATCAATGCACTATAAACCCTGGGAGACTAAGGCCCACAGGAAGTGACACCCACAGATGATCTGATTGGTAGCACCTCTGACTGAGGTCTGATTGGTCCAGGTGCACTATTTAAGCATGGAGGGAGTTCCAGGAAGCTGCCTGTGCAAGTTGGTGGTACCCAGTCTTCTGCTACAACATAGTCCTCTCTTATTCCCTGCATTGGACCTGGCTCTAATCCTTGTCTTCATTCCTGATCCCCACCACCAGCTACGATCTCCAGCTAGACTCCTGATCCCTGACTCCAGTTCCACTCTTCAGCTTGACTTTCGGTTTCCGACGCCAGCTCTGACCCCTTGGCTTGACCCCGGTTCAAACTATTAGGCCCTACTTCTGCTCCGACCACTAGCCCTGACTCCTGGTTCTACCCGCTAGGTCAGGGCACCCATATCCCAGTTGTGATACCCGAGCACTCCTTGGCCAGCTCTTCTAAAACTCTTGGATGCAAGTTATCTGGAGCTGCTAATTTAAAATGTCTAATATTAGGCGCTGTGTTTAACATCCTCCTGAGTTACTGCTGGACTGGGTGTTGAAGGCTCCTTTAGCTCCTAGGTTCTGAACACCCCCTTTTGGGGACACCCAGGATTCACGCAAAGAGAAGCAGAAGATTTGCATGAATGGGTTGGTGCCCAGATACCATGGTGAGAGGTGCTGCAGAAACACCCGAGACAGATCAAATCAGCCCACCTTGTCCAGCAGTGGCCAACACCAGAGGAAAGCAACACATTCCAGTGTAGGCGATTCCCTTCTGCCTCCCTGAAATTCCCCTTGGATACGGGATTCTTCATTTCCCACCCTACAATGCTGCCTGGTATAGCAGCGCTGCTAAGCAGCTACACCATCCCACTCCACCCCAGGGGGGCCTGATCAACAGAGGATGGCGAAGAAGGTGCCAGTGAGGGTTGACGAGCTAGTGTTGTAAAGCACACAGAGGTCTTTGGGAGAAAGGTGCCAAGTTCAGTAGCAGGATTAAGAACAAGAGAAAGAAGGTTTCTAATAACACCGGACCCTCGCTAGAACGCAGGATTTGGGATCCATGCGCGGTACCGTGTTAACGCGGGGACCGCATTAAAATGAATTGCAATTAAAGTAATTCAATTTGAGATCCATGGCCGAGACCGCGTTATATGCGAAGTCGTGCTATACAGATGTTCATTCTAGCGAGGGTCTGGTGTATCTGCTACATCCACAATTCAACGAGCAGCCCTTTTTTCCCCCCCCGGGACATGAATGATCTTCCACATCCCGGGCACATCTTGACAGCAGTCAGTAAAAGAACCATCCAAGAGACAATGTCACTGGGAAAGTGACAGGGCATCGCCTCCAGGTGGAGTGAACCCCAAATATTTATTTCCAGTGACAGACACTGATGTTGACAGACATCCCTTCTGCTGACTCCAGACTTAGAGGGTGACAGTTCTGGATAATGTCACCCCTTTGTCTGATGGATGCTGGTATGTTAGAATTACTCACTGGACTATGATCAAAAGGTTGCGTGTTGATTGGCTCAGAGGATCACTTGTCTTCTACGTTAGCCAATCACACAATAGCTCTCTCAAACAAGTGCTTTTTGACGTGTGTTGTAACTAGTTCATGCATGTTGGCTCCAGGATGGCTGGTGGGGCCAGTGACGGAGTGGTGAACAGAGGTTGCATTTAATAGTTAGAGACATGTCGGCATGGAACCTTGGCCTTTAAATCACGTTTCTAATTGCATTTAAAAAAAAGCTCTTTCTAGTAAAAATGGTGAGAGCTGCTAGTTCAGCAAAGAAATCAACGTTCCTCGCAACAAATGCTTGTGGACTGAACGGCGTTAGGGTTTCTCAGAGACATTAAAAATGGAAAAGACCTGTTATTAACAGTCACTTGTCTAGCACCTTCCAGCTGAGGATCTCCAAGTGTTCTACAGACACTCCCAAGTTAAGCATCAATACCGATCTTCATTCGACCAATGAAGCAACTGTGGCACATGGACATTAACAGACCTGCCCCAAATCACACCCGAGGAACTGGGAATAGACACCAGATCTTTCTATACATCCAGGTCCTTACACTGGGGTCTATCACTAACACCTGAGCTCCCCAGTTCCTGCACCTAAAGCTTTTCTTAAGTCACGTTGACCATTGATCAATGCAGAACTGGTCCTTCTCCGATCTTCTCCAGTGCCTCGTCTAGTAGAGTTTTAAGTTTCCGTTGGTCAATTATTCTACAGCCCAACAGATCTGACTGGCATCGGGTGAGAACAAAGCCCACAGAAAGAGCAACGAGCAAGAAATAAATGTTATTTTTAAGGTGATGTTTTGATCTACTCTACTAGGATCTAGCAAGGTCAGCATTGCCCTTTCACACAGTTAAAAAACCAACTCTTAGGGAATACTAAGAGTACAGATTGCTGGTTTTGCAAGCTCATGTTGCAAGCTTACCAACAATTTGTGCTTTCGTAGCTTCAACCTGTCACAATGTCTGGAACCCTTGGGAAATCCCTTGAAGATTGTATTTTGCACGCAGCCAACATCCTAGAGTTCTCTATTTAATTCAGCTTTTAGAGCCAAATCCTCAGATGGTGCCAGTGAGCGTAGTTTATGTGAAGTCTGGTTCATACACAAGGCAGTTTTCAAGCGATTTCCCAAGAATTACATGTTGGGACTGGCAGAAGCCACTAAACTGCAAACAGGTGGTGAGTTTGCAACATGAGGAACATGAGAGAAAGAGAAAATAAATCAGATGTAGTCACATTAAACAGCCATGGAACCATTTAAGTTTTGAAAACATCCATTCTGAGTTATTCGACCACTGAGGAAGAAGCGAGTTTTCACCCAAGGAGATGGTGCAGATGCTGGTTGGCCAGTGAATGACTCAAGCCCAGCTTTGTTTCAGAAGTTCATCAGGATCGGTGCGTCATCCTGAACGAGGAACACAAACTTTGTCTTATCTGAGGAAACCTGGTTTTGCAATCAACCTGAACACTTGAAAAAAATCACGTTCTAGTGCAGCGCTTGGGCTTTGGTGAACTATACGAGCATCCCGAGGTGTGATACTCCACATGGGTGCATGAGAGCCTATAGAACTGAAATCCATTGGTCTGAGCATAGGAGAAGGAGCCAGGAAACCTTGAGTTCTAACATGACTAGACCTCTGCCAGTGACCCGTGTGGGGCTCGACGCAAGCCAATTAATCTCTCTTTGCTTCCGCTGCCTTCTCTGTGGAATGAAGAGGATAATGTCTATCACCCGGGGTGTTGGGAGCAGAGACTAATTAATCTTTGAAAGAGAAAAACGCTGGGTGATGCTGTAACTCTTCAGCGATGCTCCATCACATAATACTTATGGGCCCAATTCTCTCCTGTATCCCAGTGGAACTGCCTTGACTTGAATGGAGTTACCCCAGCTTTCCACCAAACAGGGCTGAGACAACAAATCAGGCCCAGTGAGACCAGCTGAGAAAATCAGATGGGATCCAAACTCTCCCAAAATGTAGGGAGTGTTTAGATCCCCTGGCACAATAATTCAAACCGCCGGGAGGGAGAGGGAAAGGGAAACGGAGGAAGCTCTTCAAGCCGTTCCAACAGCCATGCAGGCAACTTACGAACCCTCTGCTGGTTCTTTTCAAGGTGATCTCTGCTTAACATCCTTCCCCTGCACCATCAGTGCTCTCTGGGCCTGGCAATGGGAGGCGCTCCATTCGGCTTTGGATCAGGCCCTCTAACCTCACATACAAATGATTACGCTGTTTAATACAAAATGCTACAGTCTAGTCCTGGCTGAGGAGCCGTTTCCGTTACAAACCCGCTCCGCAGGCGGCCGGGGCCCGCCGAGAGAGATGAGAGTCTGTTCTGTTACTTTCTCTCAGCACTCATAACATTATTCAGCACTGATCTCTCTCCAGCCTTTGGAGTGTAACGACTCCGTCCTTTACCGCACTCGGCACTCTTAACACTGGCATTCAGACCTGTAAAGCCAGGAGAATATGCCGCCTTGCAATGTAGTTGACGAGATTTTATATATCTTGTAAACCAGCAGAAATCGAGTCTGATTCAAGCGGCGCTGCAGAGAGATTCATCCATCAGCCGTTAGCATTGATCATATGACACATGCACTTTGCAGAGATCCAATTGCTCCTGCTGACTTAACTGCCTTTCAGTCTAGCTGCTGTTTTACACCTTCTCTGACATCCAGGCAGACCCGTGAGTGAATTCCAGGAGTCATGGACGAGCCGTCAGTGGGGGA